CGATGCTTGGGTGTGTTGGGATGCAGTGGTCCAAGGTCCTGCGCATCCGCGAGTACGGCCAGCGGCAGATGGACCATATTCGTAGCGCCAACGGGACGGGCGATGCGGCGTCGGATTGGAAGAAGCATCCGATCTGCGACGCTGTGGAGTTTATAGCAGACCTCCAGGGTCTGTATCGCGGCATGACCGACTCCAATCCTCTGCCTTGGTGGACCGAGTTCCGAGACCTGCGGCTGCTATCGAGTTCTGCTACAGAAGAGATCGATCTCCGGTTGAGCGAGTGCAGGGACGCGACAGGCGTTATGGATTCGACAAAATTGGATGCTCTCGTGGGGCTCCTCATCCGCACCGACGACACCACCGTATACCTCAACTTTGTTTCACAGCACCTCATCAACTTTCGACAAGACCTCCTCCTCGATCGCTTCATCACGACCGGCAAATACGGTGTCTTCCACCCCGCGCCAGACGACTTTGTCCCGGGGGATGTGTCATGATTTACCACCTTTTCCCATTTTCCAACCTTTTCCACCACCCACACCTTTCCTACACTTCCCTCGAATACCCCGGATTATTAACCCGGTTTAATAACCCGGACCCCTGGGAATAACCCGGGCACTCCTGGATCGATCGGCAAGTCAAGATACCGCTCCTGTACCTTGACATCGGGCCCCTTCCTGCCCACTTCCTACACCTCCTCTCCTTCGTACCTTTCATTTATCCTGTCGCATTAACCCTGGGTTACCGCCTCCTGGATACCTATTTTCCTATATAAGCTAGTGTAGTTGCGCTGTATTTCTCTACACTATTCTAGTCTATTCTCCAGAGCCTACTCGACCGTGTTTGCCTTTCTTTTTGTATCGCCCAGTCGCCCACGTTGCAATAAGCTTACGAAGTAAGGCCCTGTGCTGACAAAAGAATAGTGTCGACCTACCGACAACCCGACTAAACGATACCGACACCATAGCCAACGACAGGCCTACGTTTACCATGCCGGACCCCGACATCTTCGCGGTCCAGGATCCCGACCAACACATCAAACTCCTCTACCGGCAGGCGCATAAGACCGACAGCGAGACAACCGGTCTGCGAGCGACGATGGCCACGGTCACCACCCAGCTGCTGGAGCAGTCGAACGAGCGGACCGCGCATTACACCATGTTAGCGGAAGCTCTCAATCTTCTCCAACTCCACAACGAGAACTCGACGTCTCAGGGTGGACGCACCATCGACGGGGGAGAAGTAAAGGTCAACACGAAACAGCTGCGAGTGGCCGTCCCACGCGTATTTGGAGGAGACTCGGAGCAGGTTGACCAGTTTCTGGCCGACTGCCGGCTGACCTTCCACAGCAACAATGCCTACGCCGACGACAGTACACACATCGCCTTCGCCCTCTCCTACATGAAGGACGGCTCAGCATCCCAGTGGGCCAACAACGTCGTGTTGGCCATGCAAACCCCAGGCGCTACCGGCGCATATACCACCTGGGAGACCTTCCGCGTCGCCGTAGTCGAGGTGTTCAAAGGCGGAGCACAAATCGAAATCGCGCAGGCCAAGATGGAACGGCTGCGCCAGAACAAGAGCACTGCAACCGAGTACTTCACGGTGCTCAACTCCCTCAACAAGACCGCCGGTTACGACGAGGTTACTCTCATCCGGTTGCTCAAACGCGGCATCGACGAACGGGTTATTCGGGCGGTTTATTCCAGCTCCATCATGCCGGCCAAATACGGGGAATGGAAGGCGCAATGCATCAAGCACGACGGCTTGCTGCGTGCGTTCCACGTTATGGAAGGCAGTCTTCGGGACCACGGAAAGAACGTTGTCGCCCCCAAGATGTTCTCAGCACCGCAGAACCACGCGTCGAACAACGGCGGACAACGCCGCACGGAATGGAAGAACCCGACGAATAACCCGGCGCCAAACCCCGGGAATAACCCGGTGGTCTCCACCACCGCACCTGCACCGATGGATATCGACCGCGCCGAGGGAAAGGGACGCACGGGACCTTCTCGCCCGGTTTGCTACAACTGCCGCCAGGAGGGGCATATTGCGCGCAACTGCCCGCGCTGTTTGGCCCAGGACCCACAATTCCGCGCCATGTATTCTGAGGCGTTGAAAGAGGAACAAGAGCAGGAGGATTTTTCCGACGGTCAAGAGTAGTCTCTGCGTACTCTCGACCTATACCCGACTCCAGTGTACGGACTACAACGAATCGATTCAATGTTTTAACCACCGAACCCACTGAGCCGGAAGAAGCAGACGAAGATACGACCAGCGAACGCACGGACGACGAACGAACAAACGACGAAGGGAGTAGCGTGGCCAGTTCCACGAGACGCTCCCGGTGGCGGAGGCCCTAAGCGCCCGCCTCGCAGCGTAAGGAGAAAGCGGAATGGCGCAGACTCCCCGCTGGAAGTGCACACAATAGTTCCCACTATTAGGATCAATCCTAACCTACCGGAGGTGGTTAATAGGATCGATCCTAGCCTACGACTGGTAGGTGGATTTCAGCACTATTCATACCGTATTACCACTCCGCACTGCTGTTGATTTTTTACATGTTTCGATCCTATCCTATCCCATCCTATTTGACCACTCCTACCCGATCGTAATCCTATCCTATCGCAATCCCATGATCTTATTCAGACTCAAAAAATGAGTAAAGACACCAGCTCACCGGCGTCACCGCAGACTTGCACGCCATTCATGATTTCTCACAAACATTCCCCACCGTACACCTTGATGGGTCATGAAGTTGGTCATGAAGCCCCGTCTTCAAATCCCTATTCATGACGGTAATCCGAGAGTTGAAGTGGCTGGTGCAGGAGGGAGTTGCACGAGGCAGAAGTCCGTGTGCCACTGGGAGTGGGAGATAACCAAGGCCCCGCATTATAAAGAAGCCCGATGAGCTAAGGCCACTGATGGCAAGGTCCAAGCTCAAGGACAAAAGAAAAGACAAAGAACTCCGCGGACCGGCACGCCCGAAGTCAAATCCGGCTTGATGTCCACACGACCAAACAAACCGACCTTGCTCTTGACCACCACAGTCCGCCACCGTCCGCCACTCTGTCTTCCTCCATTCCCCTGTACCGGCTCAAATCTGCTTCAGCTGACTCTCTCTTCAAGTTCTTTCCCCTGCCTCAACGTTCAGGCACTTCAAATTTGCTGCAAAATCCCGAGTGGCATCAATACGGTGAGTGGCTCATTTATTTCATTCCCCTCCCACACCATTGTTCAACATTTCATGGGAAATCATCCTATTCCATCCCATCCTATCCTATTCCATCCTATCCTATCCCATTCCATCCCCTGATAATCCTATCTTACTCCACCCCATCTTCAACAATTCCATCTTCACACCTTTCTGTCCCTCCATGCCTTTCCTCCATTCACTTTTTCTTGCCTGGGATATGATCCTATGAACCTAGAAACCCAGGAAAGGATTGATCCCATCGACTGAGGTCGTCGGTGCACAACGAATTTTGGCACGACTAGACGCAAGGCCATTCAAAGCGCTACGGGTGATGGGTCACTGGGTACACCTGCAGCGGAAAGACGAAGTAACGCAAGAGTTAATCGACGGGTTAATGGCCGCGTATCCCCCGGATGCACTCGACGCGCTCGACAGCCTACGCGAGCCTCCGGCATATGCCAGAACCCTGAACGGTCGCGGGAATTCGATGTTAATCCCGGTCACCCTCGAAGGGTTGAACAACTTGAAAGGTTGCACCGTGACCGGGTTAATCGACAGTGGCGCCACGGGCACGTTTATCAGTGAGTCGATAGTGGAGGAAGAGGGGATGGAGCGAGAACCCCTCCCCATGCCGGTGCCCGTTTACAACGCGGATGGGACGCTCAACCGCGGCGGGATGATCACTCACGTAGCTCGGATGCACGTGAAGGTGCAAGACCACGAAGAAATCTTCCCATTCGCTATCACGGACACGGGGAAGAACGACGTAATTATCGGCTACGATTGGCTCAAGAAACATAATCCGGAAATCGATTGGGTGAAGGCAGAGCGGGCAAAGCACTCTTTCCTCAGCTGGAATTGAATTTTTGCAAGCAAGGTCTCTTCCGACAAAGTCAGAGCATCCTAGTCTGAATTACTAGTCAAAATCTTAGCAGACTCAAGTCGGACGGCTACGGGAATGCTTTTGTCAAACAAAGTAGGTGCGACCAGCACACTATGGGTCAATACCCATAAGTCAATGAGAATCCAGATCTTTACAACCAAACTGGAGCTATTTGGGCTGTATCGAGATCTCTAAAGCCGCCGATTATACATCAATGTAACATCATTGACGTCAAAACTCTTCACGTTGAAGTCGACACCAAATCCATTCAATAATCCAGATCTCCACCCAGACTCATAGGGCCTGACTTGGATCATCCATGCACGATCCATCATCCACCGATCACATCCCTATTGGACGTGGATGTCCATTTCCATGAGCAAAAAAAAAATTGACCTCATTTCTCCAGCGGCATCTGGAGGTATAAAAAAATCACATACTGCATTCACAGGGCCATTTGATTACCTGTCTAAGTTCCCAGGAATTTATCTCAGCTCTCGCGCACCTTGTCTCAACAACAGCCAAGGCCTTGAATTCACAAACAGTAGATGCACTTGCACATTTCCTGTTCCAACAGTTCTACTACAATATGGGTGTCCACAGCAGGTCCTCGCCAACACTACATTCTCCGTTACCCACCCATGTTCCCTCACCAACCGCTTGGTCTACTGCTAACAGGGTCAACCCAACCCTATTTAAGGCACTTGCATTTTGGTGATCTTCCACTCTTCCCTTGCGCGCAGCGCAGTGTTATCTCTCATTGGAGCCCCCCAGTCAATTCTTCATTTGATGTGGAATGAGTTCAAATATGATTTGTGAGTTCCTCTCTTATAAGAGCGGGTGGGATTTTTTGCTGCGCTCAGGCCAGGAAGGCATCAGCAGAATCTTTCAATATGGTTCAAGGCCGAAGGTGGCGCTGTCACGTATCTAGTGTAACGGTAACACGCAGCACTTGAATCATCATCGCCGAGTCTGGGGTTCGAATCCCCAAGTCCGCCTTGTTTCTTTTCTCTCATGCGACAAATTTCCTTTTTTTCCCTTTCTTCCTTTGCCTTTCGCAGGTGTTGGCGCCTGGTGTCATGACACTAATCCTACATATGCTGAGTGTTGAATATGCACTGTGCTCAGCCCCTTTGTAGGCCCGTAGGTGTAATCCTGGCGGCTTACGGACCGATCACATATGTACATCAACAGTTGTTTCTTGTCCTTTACCCCCTTGTACTCGCTCGCCGCTCGTCGTTCTCCAATCCACACCGAGATCTCGTTGACATCTGGTGTGATTCTCTTCAAGTGTTTTCTGTCCGGCTGACAAACCAGCAAGGTGGGTCTACCATAGTAGACTATAGGGTAGACTGATGGGTTGTAGACCATAGGGACACAACATTTTGGTTTTTTTCAGCCTCCTTGGGCCATGTTCATCACTGTCACCAGGGCCAGGATTATTTAGTTCACAGGTTGCTGTCACCCGTCACCTGAGCCTTTCGAAATAGGAGAGGGAGAGTAATGTGTGTTTTGGAGGTGTATGTTTCTGTTTGCGTGTGCTAGCAGCATGCCGTGTTGCGTCCCATGTCCCTTCAAATTCTATCCCCATCGGTTAACAGATCAACAATATCAAGCCTAAAGTTGTTAGCCACTTGGAGAAGTGATTCAGGTTCATCCCTGAGTCTCCTCATGTCGTTCCGAGCCCTACTAACGTGTTCAACTTGCTCTAGGGGACCTATTGCGCCAACGATATGACACCGCCGTCCACGAGCGCAACATACAAGTTGAGGCATTCAAAGCGTTCAGCAAGGTGAGCTGAGGAAATGGCGTACAGTTTGCCATCAAAAATATGTTTTATGTTTACCTCTGTTTGGGGGACCCATCCCTTTTGTTATATACAAGTTATATAGATACTCCCTACTTTATCAGCTGGCCCTCTGTATTTCAAGATATCTGACATGGGCCTGCTTCAGATGTGCGGTGCAAAAAGGTGTTTCCGGATGTGTGAAAGAGCTGATGTCACATTCTATTGCAAGGAAAATCAAGAATGGTAATATTTTTACATTACATGGAGTCTAATTCAAGTAGGAGGTCAAGAACATCAAACAAAGTGATGACCGGAGCGGCTGGCACGCTTACTGTCCAGTCTGCTCAACATCTCCATGGATCTCTCCATCGGTTCCTTCATAAGCAAGCGGCGTGCTTCCTCAGCCACATCCTGATGACTGGAGCGCTTACTGTACCATTTCGACCAAAGGTTCACGGGGTGTCACCCGTCACCTCGATTGTTCACTGAACAAGTTGTTCATTGATCGGCAATCACCAAAAATTACCATATACGGACGTTCGGCACCTACCGGCGGCAAATTTTTGCTGTTTTTCAGCCTAATTGGGCCAGAAAAGTCATCCGTCACCGTCACCTGGGCCAAAATTGTTCAGTTCACGGGTGGCCGTCACCCGTCACCTGAACCTTTGGTCGAAATGATACAGTACTGTCCAGTCTGTTCATTATCCCCATGGATCTCTCCAGGTCAGCCTCCATAAGCAAGCGGCGAGTTGCTTCCTCAGCCACATCCCGATGACCGGAGTGGCTGGCACGCATACTGTCCAGTTCGTACATTTTCTCCATGGATCTCTGCACCTGTTCCATCATAAGCAAGCGGCGAGTTGCTTCCTCAGCCACATTCAGCAACCATTTGATATTTGGTGTCAATTTCACCCCGGTGAGGCTTGCTCCCGTTTGCACCAGTAGCTCAGCCACATCAATGTGCTTGTTGTATATGGCTGCCTGGACTGCAGTCATAAACCCGCCAGCTGAACCATGATATCAGTGGCATTTTCCTTTCCTTGGGTGTTAGGGACATCACCAGGGGAGTTGACATGGGCATGCTTGTCCAACAACAGTCGGACAATGTCAATGTGACCGTTGTATGCGGCTGCCTGGAGTGCGGTTCCAAATGTGCCACCTGAACCACAATATTAGTGGTGGTATTTTCATCAGGCCAAGTATTCTCACCTTTGGCATTGACAGATGCTTGCTTCTCCAACAGCAGTTGGGACACATCAAAATGCCCATTGAATGCAGCTGCTTGTAACGCTGTCCCATATTCCCCAGCTGCAAACTATGTAAGTCACATCTCTGTGGCCCGGAACCAGGAAAATGTCACCTTGAACATTCACACCTGCCCCCTTGTCAATCAGTAGCTTGGACACATCTAAATGCCCGTTGGTTGCGGCTGCCTGGAGTGCTGTCCCGTAATTTCCACCTAATCCATGAGTTGCGGATTCCTTGACATAATAAAGGCATACCTTGAATATTGGGATCAGCTCCTTGATTTAAAAGCAGTTGAGTCAAGTCCAAAAATCCGAACCCCGCGGCTGCTTGTAATGCTGTCCCGTAGTTGTGTTGTTGGTTCTGACCTGGATGGATGTTTGGGTCTACACCTAAATTCTGAGTCATGACTTGGAAGTTTGGGTCTGCTCCCCTGTCCAACAACAGCTGGACACTATCAATGTCCTGGCTGCATATGGCTGCCAGGAGGGCGGTTCGGAGCTCGCCACCTAAACCAGGATATCAGAGGCATTTCCCTTTGGTTGGGTGACAGTCCGCGCCTTCTGTGTTAACCTCAGCTCCCATGTCCAACAGCAGCTGGAGGGTGCTAACATGGCCATTGCATGCGGCCGCCTCAAGTGCGGTTCCAAACCTGCCACCTGAACCACAATATCAGTGCTATTTTCCGTGGGTGACAGTTCCCTCACCAGGAGCATTAACAGCTGCGCCCTTAGCCAACAACAGTTGAATCACATCCAGATGCCCATTGAATGCAGCTGCTTGTAATGCTGTCCCATATTCCCCAGCTGCAAACTATGTAAGTCACATCTCTGTGGCCCGGAACCAGGAAAATGTCACCTTGAACATTCACACCTGCCCCCTTGTCAATCAGTAGCTTGGACACATCTAAATGCCCGTTGATTGCGGCTGCCTGGAGTGCTGTCCCGTAATTTCCACCTAATCCATGAGTTGCGGATTCCTTGACATAATAAAGGCATACCTTGAATATTGGGATCAGCTCCTTGGTATAACAACAGTTGAGTCAAGTCCAAAAATCCGAACCCCGCAGCTGCTTGTAATGCTGTTCCGTAGTTGTGTTGTTTATTCTCGCCCAGATGAATATTTGGGTCTGCACCTAGCTTGAGCAATAATGTAGACAGGGTCATGTCCTTGCGTGCTAGCGCCAGGTCTAATGCTGTGGGACTTTTGGCACCTAAGGCCATACTCAGCTCAATAGAATTAGGATTGAACAGATTAAATCCTACCCCGTACTCGTGTGTTCACGTCAGCACCTGGCTGAAGCACAGAGAGCAAGATCTGTTCGGTGGGCGCATCTCGCTGCAGTGCCTCCCTCAGCGACTCAGTATTCCCCCGGGCTCCAGTAGCATTCCAGATGTCGCGTACCGGCAACACGAGTAAGAGAAGTGCCAAGATCTGACCAAACGACCAGGTGGATTCACCCACAGTCTGTAAGTGTCGATTTTGTGCCAGGGCCAGTTCGACATCAACCAGGAAAATGATGTTGACTGCGCAGAGGAGGGCCATCCCTATCAAAGTTGGGAGGATGCTGGGCGGCGAGGGGGGGAGATCGGGCAAGTCGTGTTGATCCCGACGCCAAGGACGGTGCACGATAAATATTGTCAGGAATAGCACCGCCGGGAAAAGCAGATTAAGTCCAGGCAGGAGAAAGAGTGCATAGATCACAAGCGAAGCCAGGCGTAGTGTTGCCGACGGAAGGGGGATGCTTTTCCCGATGATGGTGGTTTCCGCGAGTTCACAATAGGAGCTCGAAAATCTCCGAGGATTGTGCCAGAACCAGAGCCCGAGTGCAGCCATCATGGAGAGGTGCAAAGAGCCCAGGATTAGGACAATGCGCCTGAAGATTGAGAACACTGGAGATTTCCGTATATCAGGGGTCTGCATTGTCCCGGATCTCAGCGGGGTCAGATTCCCCTCTACTCACATGGGTCAGTTCATTGACTTGTGGCGGGCACTGCAACATACTGTTTGTGGGGCCTCTGAGTAGAAACCCGGAGGCTTCTCGCTTGATATGATCTACCCAGGCAGACCATTGTAGCTTTATGTGTGCCGGCCCCTCCTGAGTTCGATGGTGAACATAGAGCAGGAAGTAAATAAAGGTGTTTGTGTTGTTCATCCAGCTGAGATCGAGGATTATGGTGGCGTGGAAAGGGGATAGTCCAATCGTCCGTGTCTCAACCATGGCCGAAGTCAAGATAGCAAAGGCAGTGATGAGTATTGTAGTCGACTGGATTTCGACGGCCTGGAGTTCGGGGATTGAGACTTCTTTGTCACGGAGAACACCGATGACAGGGATAAAGCTGAGCAGGTTCTGGGCGTATATAGCGACCCGCACACCGATACCAGAGATGTCGGGGTCTGCAGGAATGCACGCCATGATAGTGGGAGGGAAAGTACAAGGTGACCCATGGTCGTACAGCACCAGATATAAGAGGTCGGCGATAACGGTGGGCCGCAGGGACAGCCTGTGTGCAATCACACCGAATGCGCATAGTTGGGGTCACCGAGAGCAGAAGTCCGAGCAAGATGGTCATGGTTCAAGCGGCTGATCGAGCGGCATTACCCCTTTCGTTACTTTGCGTTGGTTTCAACAAAGTTTCGGGGCCAATCCCGAAATACCAAGCCGACACGACGACCCGGTGGGGAAATATGGAATACCCAGAGTCTGTACCGGAGCCATGCCATAGGGTTCCGCTCGGCCCTATGTTTTGATAACTTCAAGGCAAGACCAGAATGGAGCGATAAATCCACGAGAATCGCCCACCAGCCACGATCAATCTCTTGGTGTCGCGCACGAGGACAGCCCAGCGCTCAATACCATGGCATCTTTGTTCTGAATCGGGTCCTTCGAACCCACGTCGTCGGTGTCCGTCGAGGATGGGCGGTAACAGGTGGTAACACTTTAGATAGCGCCTACGTTGCTAT